AGTGTGCAGACATGTCAGTACATGTCACAGACAAGTTGACGTGAGCAAGCAAGTGTGAAGCTGTAACTAAATCTTCTACATCCCTCCGGGGATGCCTGCAAGTGTGTGTGTGTGTGTTTGATGGCCTCCTAACAAACTTCTCTATGGTTGTGAACATGGAAATGAGCGGACTCATGTGTACCCAAGAAACCGGCAGTGACTGCCCGATGTAGGCACCGTTGACCTCTCCCTTGTTTGGGATGATGTGTCAATATGTGTCAATGCAACTGCATTATTTGGGGCGTTGCGCATTCTGCGTCAAGATGTCAGCTTAGTGTAAGTAGACAGGTCGAGAGTAGGAATTGTACCGTCACCCCAAGCCTATACTTTTTTGCTTTTCCTCTGAGAAGCGTGATGCCTGGAGCTTCTGCGAATGTCTTCCAGGAGCACGCCAGTCTGGCAGAAGGCCCTGAACGTGGAGGCGTGAAGGGCGTGAAAAAGTGGGGTGAAAAAAGTGTGTTTCACTGTGCTTCACTGTGTTTCTGTTGTCTTTTCCAGGTGGCTCGTCTCCACGGCGCCGGTGCGGCTCCATTGCACCGACGCCTTGCCGAAAGGGCACTTGATTCTGAGCAGAAGCAACTCTGAGCCCTTGCACGGTAATGAAATCATGTTTCATGCATTCTGAATCCTTCTCTCTTCAAATAGCTTTCCACTCTGCTCTTGTGTCAGCTCAAAAAGGTTCGTGCGTGTCCATTCAGAAGGTAAGTTCCAAAGGGAAAGTTCGCGCAAGCTTATAGGATTGCCAAGTAAGAATGGGTATTGTTTCGACGAGCTACCGTCACGAAAGCATCTTTCTGGTTCAAATCCTCACACGGAAGCCACGGAAGCCACGGAAGCCAGGAATCTGCATTACTCTTGCAAAACTCTTGCAAAAACATTGCATGCAGGTACAGGTGGCTTATCAGACCACCTTCCCTTATCTGGGAATAGTATCGTTTGCACAAGCATCCAAGATAGGCCGGTGCCCCCCTGCGCTGCAAGCTTCTGGTACTACAATCTCTTGCAGGGCTGCCCACCCTTCTCTCGTGCCCCCTGCATGAATTCATAAGAGAAAGGTGTGACCCTCGGCTTGCATGTCTTAGAAAGATTCACACGCGCAGAGCCGCTAAAGGGGCACCCATGAAAACAAAGCAAGTTTCGGATTTTCAGCAGCTGCTGCACATGCCGTTACCCTAATGTCATAGCACTCACGTGCGCATGAGCTGAGTAGAAGACGTAGCAACTCAGAGTAGAGAGGTAAAGCAGTTCCTGCCCAAAAGCATTCATGACCATCCTATGCACCGCCCTTGCACGCACTCCGATCTGCAGACGCTATCCTCCTTCCGCAATAATGAACAGGCTGAACTGGAGTCTGAATTGCAAGCACTAGGAGGTAATTAGGGTATCCTAGCCGTGGATAAGAGGGCCACTACGGCGCCACATGAGAAAGCCGCTGTTTGGTGATATAGGTTTTAGGGTTTGGGGTCTAAGGTCTACTGAATGCACAAAAGAAAGGAGCAAACCCCCAGCTTGCGTGTCCTAGCAACGTTCACACACACGGAGAAAGGGGTTAACTCTTACGGATTCGAGCGATCGATCGATCAACAACCCTCTTTTCCCGACCAGGGCTGCCAGGCCGCTGCTGCTACTGCGTGTGTTCAGCAAAACATGCCCGAACAACAAATATCGGGATAATGGAAAAGGAAATGGAAACTACTATAGTACATTGGGGTTATAATTTAACAAGAAAATGGAAGCCAAACAAACTACTATAGTATTATAGGGTTTATATAAGGATTATATAGACCAGGCAAGCTGGTGAAGTCCCACGAAGATTATTGACAAACTTGATTTGCTGCAGCTGTTGCTCCTGCCACTCTGCTATTTCTGCTGCTTGATTTTTCGCGTGTTGTGGACATTACCACAGAAACTGCGTGCAGAAGACCTAATATGATTACAATGTGTGTTCTGCACAGTCTGCGTCAAGCAACCTCGTCAAAGTCAAGCCTCCTGGCAAGACCTCTCAATATTCTGGTTTCTGACAGCATGGGGTTTCATGACCCATTTTGCAAATCTATGTCTTTCTGAGCTGGGTTCTTCTAACAAGGCCTCACAGAAAACATCTTGCTGCTTGTCACTGGTGTCGCCAAAGTTCACCAGCAACAGTCTGAGTGGGTTTGGTCCACTTGTCTTCGATCAGCAGCCTCCACATATGGGTGTGAATCAAAAACACTGGGTTTGTAACAGTCTTGGGCGGCCATTCCGCGACATCGGTTTGTAACAGAATCTGCTGGCGTGCGACAAACATCTTTGCGACAAGGTCCTTTTGTAGGGCATACCTGCGGCAAGCATTCGCGACAAAGGTGTGTAACAACAGGCCGCGACAAAGGGGTATGTAATAGGGGGTGGGGGGGGG